ACAACACTGCTTTCATGCTATTTGGCTATTTGTTCTACTTTCTATTCTCCCTTTCAATTCTAGCATTGTTCAGCCTCTACAAAAATCAAGATTCCTTTTTCTGTATTTCAAATATATAATATTGAGTCAAACTATTTTTAGCACTGTGCAAGGCACTGTATGGGATACAAAAATAAATGCGTCTGTGGATAACCTTGGGAACTTCTATTTTAATTGTTACAACATGAGCTGGAATAACCTGCATACAGTTGTCTACAGTAGGAGAGAGAATAAAAGTATCATTATTGAGCCCATGATAGAAATTTACAAGAAGGAGAAAGCAACCCCAGAAACTGACACTGTCCTTAGCACAGGGCCTCGGCTCCAGGCTCTGAAGACAGGAGAGGGAGGTGTGGGGTGGAAGGTCTGTCTCTCCTCTTTCCTTTTGTTTCTTTGGTGCCCAAAGACAAAGGAGCAGAACAGTGAGGAGGGTTCTGTGCTAGGGTTCTGTGGCACAGTGTGGCTTCTCTGGTTTACAAAAACCAAGGGGATCTGAGGAACTGAAGAGCGGTGCTCAAAGGTGCCAAATCTAAAGAAATGATAAGAGACAGAGGTGCTCATTCCCTGTCTGGACCAGTGCACGCTGGGTGCATGTTTGAAATGTGGTGCTGTATTCCAGAAATTCACACAATAGGACCTGCTGATAAGGAACAAGGATGAGGAAAGAGGCCGGAAAGCGAGGGCCCCACACCCCAACCCCTGACCCAGAAGCTGCCCTGGAGCCGGTGCTCACCTGGCCCCAGGGTCTCTCTGTGGGTCACCATCTGTAACCCACCAAGCCACTCTCCCTCCAAGCCTCTCTCCTGATTGTAAAGCTGCACAGCAGAACCCAGTTGTCTGAGCTACCCCAGAACATAGCACCCCAGGAGGGATCCCCAGGCCTGCTAAGGAGCTGGGTGGAGGGATCATCAGCTGAGAAACCTGGCCTGGCGACACCCTGAAGACTGGTCCTAGGCCAGTCCCTCATACTTGTCCCAGAGTTGGAGTGATTTTTTGCCCTGTGTGACTGCAGAACACTGGCTTTCCATGTGAGAAAGAGGAGGGGGATAAGGAAGAGAGGACAGAAAGGGGTCTTCCTGCCTTTTCATCTGCGATGCTGCAGTTGGGAGGTTGAGCCTGTGGGGGAGGGGGAAGGGTGGGTCTTAGCCGTGTGGGGAATCTGCTAGGGGACGGGTGCTGGGAGCAGGGCAGGCTCTGGGTTGGCTCTGTGGGATGCCCAGAAGGCATTGGGGGGGTGAGAAGTCCCTGCTCTGTCCCTTCCTGCTGTGCTCTGTGATGTTCGAGGACACTACTTTCTGTGTCCCCCTGGGTATAAAGCACCATATACTTGTTGGCTTAAAATAGCAGAAATGGGGAGGCCAGGAGTCCAGCACCCAGCTTGGTCCCTGGTGGGGTTCCGAGGGACCATGGTCTTCAGGCTTGCCAAGTCCCCCTGGGTCTGGAGGTCCTTAGTGTTCCTTGGCTTGTGACTGTGCCAGCTCATGTGGCTCCCTCTTCACATGGAGCTGTCTTCACGAGTCTCTGTCTCCTCTTTTGAGGACACATCCTCCTAGACCAGGGCTCTGTCCAGAGTGCCTTCATCTTAATTGGATTCCATGTGCAAAGACCCTCTTTCCAAATAAGGCCCCATTCGTGGGCTTTGAGGGTCAGGACTCACTTCAGCATCTCTTTTCAGGGAACAGAGTTCCACCTGTAACACTTCCCATTCTTCTTCTCCTGCAGACAACAGTCCTGAGACCCGGGCTAAAGTGAAATTTGTCCAGGACACTTCCAAGTATTGGTACAAGCCTGAGATCTCCAGAGAGCAAGGTGAGGACTGGGTGGTTCTGGTGGTTCTGTGGGTCCATAGAGGACAGAGTTGGCTGCCGATCACCGTGTCTGACTTGGGCAAGGAACACAGTGCACTCATTCCTCTTTGCAGTAGGTAGTGGTCACAGAGAGGGAGCTGGGATTTAAGTCAGACAGTAAGAAGCACTTCCCACATCAAAGGGAAGGCTGGCAGACCATTGGTGTGAATGATTTTTGCAAGAGTCCATCGGAGCTTTGGTTTTCCTGAACAAAGTAGAAGATCAGCCAAGATCATATGAAGCCTCAGCTCTCCATCTGTATGATGTGGGAGATTTTTGCATTTTGTAGAAACAAATGAAGTTGTGAATATGGGAATAGAGACGAGGCCCCCTATGGGTTCTCAAGGAACATCTGTGGGGTGTGGGTGTGGCTCACCAAGGACTGCCTGACGGCCTCACTGGCCCACTGCCTGTCTTTGTAAATAAAGTTTTATTGGAACAAAGCCACGTCCATTAGTTTACAGACTGTCACTCGCTTCCAGCTGCAGCCATAGACTTGAGTATTTGCGACGACAGGCTGCGTGGCCCCCAGTGTTGACTCTCTGGCCATCTCAGCCCAGGAAGACCCTTGGGAGTGTTTATACTCTGACTTTAAAGAATGTCATCTCATCCAAGAGAAAACAAAGTTCCAGAGGCCCCCAGGGCACTTAGGCAGCCAGGGACGCCAATCTCATGTGCCCTCTTCCCTCCTCTAGCGCAGCCATCGCACTCCTTAAGGATCAGGAGCCAGGGGCCTTCGTCATCCATGAGAGCCACTCCTTCAGGGGGGCCTATGGGCTGGCCATGAAGGTGTCTTCGCCTCCTCCGACCATCATGCAGCAGAATAAGAAAGGTGACATCCTCCTCCGGAGACTATGGGATCTTCACGGTCTCTTCAAACCCTGGGGTGCTGGGGGCCCCAGGGTGCTGAGCAGGACCTAAGTCTCAGAGAGCTGGTGCCTGATAAACAGCTCTCCAGAAGAGCATGTCCTGGACTTGTGATGGTGGCGTCGGGGAGCAGGGAAGCAGGTGTCTCTCCTCTCTGGAGGGGCCGGTCGTGGTCTCTGCAGCCCCAGGCTCCAGCTTCCCCATCTCTGCGACCCTCTCTCCCACCCCAGCCCCAAGCACTGGAAAAGAGGTAGAGCAGCCTTGGGAGTCCGTGGGGTGACTCTGTGAAAAGTGTCCCATTTCTTTCTCTCCATCCCAGGAGATCTGGCCCATGAGTTGGTGAGACATTTCCTAATCGAGACTGGCCCCAGAGGAGTCAAGCTCAAGGGCTGCCCCAATGAGCCGAACTTTGGTGAGCTGCCCCCACCACTGTCCCTGCAGGAGGGGTTCAGCATCTTGCCCTGCTTCAAGCCCCCCTGGGGCCTGACCCCAAGTTGTCTCCCCCGTCATCCTGTGTGGTAGATGGCACCGTCCTTGTTGCGCACAAGGGAACTGTTAGTTAGACTTACCCAAGAAGTCACAGGTAACAAGTGACTGACCTGGGATTCGATCCCACAATTCTCCAATGCTTCTACCCTGTTTGTTTCTTTTTGGGGGGGAGGGGTGTGGGGTCATCACTGGAGAGACTTAGAAAAGATGTTAGGAGGAACTGTAAAGGGAAGTTGTTAGGTCACAATATGACTGCTAGAGGGAGTCTTTGGAATCTTCTTCCTTGGGTCTTGCTAAAAAAAAAAAAAAGGGCATGAATTTTCAGCTCTGAAAATTTGTGGATAAGAGAGGGGTAATAAAGAAGCTAAGCTGTGGGTAGCTCCATAGCTAAGCACACCTGAGGTCCTGGGTTCCATCTCTAGCCACGCACACACACACACACACACACACACACACACACACACACAAACACACACACGGAAAGAAGCCCGGTGGGGTGAGGCTTCCTGGTGTTTGCGCCCGGCCCCGGCTGGCCCCTGACTCCCAGGAGTGCTGCCTCTGAGCCGTTGTCTCGTCCCGCAGGCTCCCTGTCTGCCCTGGTCTACCAGCACTCCATCATCCCTCTGGCTCTGCCCTGCAAGCTCGTCATTCCAAACCGAGGTAGGATGTGAGACTCCCCGAGCTCCAAAGGTGCCCTTGAGCTACCTCCTTCATGTCTGGCCCTGCCAGCCACTCCAGAATGTGGGCCAGGGGTGGAGGGCACTGGCCATTTTGCCAACGTGGGGAAACTCAAAACCTCTCTCTCACACACTTCTTTTTTTCCTGATAAAAAAGAAGGAAAAGTTTGTGGACGTGGTGGCATACACCTGTAATCCCAGTGGCTGGGGAGGCTGAGGCAGGAGGATCACGAGTTCCAAGCCAGCCTCGGCAACTTAGCGAGACTGTAAACAACCTAGTGAGATCCTGCCTCAGAATATCAAATATAAAGGGCTGGGGATGTGGGCAGGTGGCTCAGTGGTTAAGTGCCCTTGGGTTCAATTCCTGGTACCCCCCAAAAGAAGGAAAAGTTTATTTAAGAGTTGAACTCCAGGGGCATATGTAAGTTGTCTTTCCAGATGGTTCTAGAAAATACTCTGGAGCCTTTAAGAAATTCATACTGAATTCTCAGAATAAGCCTCATCCCCAGGCAAGGCCTAAGACGTGGGAGAGTCAGGAGAAGAATGTCCTAGAGGTTGAGATAACATCTCCAATATTTGTGGATGATTTTTATCTATTCAATTCAGTTCACTGAATTATTAATAATAATTGGCCAACATTATTAGCTTAAAAGTTCCAACAAAACTTAAGCAGCATTATTAACCATACAGTTTAGACACCAATTAAATTACATTTTTATGGAATTTACTGTGGAAGTCCAGCAATTACAAAGCTGTTTGACTTTGAATTGTATAAACCTGTGGTTCTTGAAACGTGGCCCTCAGACCAGCAGGCTATGCATCCCCTGAGAACTTGTTAAATGCTGGCATTCTCCAGGTCCACTTCTTCAGGAACTCTAGGTTGGGCCCAGCCATCTGCATTTTAACAAGGGTGCACACCAAAGTGTAAGCAACACTGGTGACAAATGAGACTCGATGCTTATTTGTTGTTCTGATTTTGTTTTTAAAAGTTTTAGTGATGGAGACTCTGTGGCACAGGCCTGTAATCTCAGCTACTGGAGAGGCTGAGGCAGGAGGATCACAAGTTTGAGGCCAGCCTCAGCCACTTAGCAAAGCTCTGTCTCAAAATTAAAATAATTTAAAAGGGCTGGGAGATAATTCAGTGGTAAAGTGCCCCTGGGGTTCAATTCCCAATACCATGAAAAAAAAATTATTTAGGTATAGTTGAAATAAAAACAGTAGTATGCACGGTGTATAATGTGTTGCTTTGATATAGCTACACATTGAGAAATGGTAAAGTCAAGCTACTTAACATGTCTATCGCTTGGTTCTTACTAATCTTGAACTTATGGTTGTGCTCTCTTGGTGGTTGAATGAATTTAAGCATGAACAGAAGCAACACCACTGCTGTTCGAAGCTTGCTTTTTACCAGGCAGTGGATTAACACTATATATGGGTTGTTTGAAAACCCTGGGTCATGGGTTCCACTTAGCAAGTGGCGGGCTGAGGGTTCGAGCCCAGCTATTCTGGACCCAGAGCTCTCAATCCATGTGCTGGGTTCTTACAGCAGCGGTAGAACATTCCACCTGTAGGTAACCCAGTGACTCGCACCGGGGCCAGCCATGGAGAGCGTGTCCTGGCACAAAGTGTTTGCAGAAGTTACCTTAGGCCCAGCCCAACCGTGCTTCTTTCCAGCTCTAGGGTTTTAATTACCAGGTGAATTTTTGTCTCAGACCCCACAGATGAATCCAGAGATAGCTCGGGCCCTGCCAACTCGACCTCTGACCTGCTGAAGCAAGGAGTGGGTGAGTGGTCCCTGGAGACTGGACCCCTGCCCACGCCCTTCTTTCCACCTTCCTGCCTGGGCCTCCTGCAGGTGCAGGTGGAAGTCTGCCAGGCCCAGAGGTCTCCAGGCAGATTATGTTCCTCTGTGTAGATGTTTTGGCCCAAGGCTGGCCTGAAATTGATCTGCTACCTTTTCCCTCAAGAGTGGACCTGGGGTATCGTCTCCACCAACTCCAGCCTTCCTGATTCCACTTGGGTCAATTTCTTGTAGCCTGTAATGTACTTTTCGTTAATTCCATGGATATGGAGTCACTCACTGGGCCACAGGCCATCTCCAAAGCTACATCTGAGACGTTGGCTGCTGACCCCACGCCAGCTGTCACTATCGTTCACTTCAAGGTCTCTGCGCAGGGAATCACACTGACTGACAACCAGAGAAAGTAAGCCTTGTCTACTTGCTCCTGTTCTGGCTCTCCTTCCTGCAGCCCATCCGTGCCTCCACTCACCACTGCTCACCCTTGCACCTCTCAGCCCACCTATTCGCTCATCCATCTATCTTGCTTCCATTCTTTATCACACTAGCTGTTCACCCATCGATCCATTATCCATCCACTTGTTCACACACTCATCAATTGGTCCATTCATCTACTTACTCGCATCCATCCATTCCCTATCTATTCTATGCCTACTTATCCCTTAATTTGTGTGTGTCTCCATCCATCCAGCCAGCCATCATCCAGCCATCCATTCATCTACCCACCCACTCATCCACCTACCCATCCACCCATTCTCCATTCATCCACCCACCCATCCATCCATCCATCCACTCATCCATCCACCCACCAACCTACCATCTATCAATCTATCCACCCATCCATACATCCTCCATCCCTCCATCCATCTAACCTCCTTCACCCATCCATCTCCCCATCCACCCACTGACTCATCCATCAATCCACCCATCCATCCATCCATTATCCATCTCTCCATCCATCCTCCATCCACCCACCCATCCATCAATCCATTCATCCCTCCCTCCATCCATTCATCTATCCATCCCACCATCCCTCCATCCTCCCTCCCTCCCTCCCTCCATCCTTCTACAAGGATCTGCCTGAACTAGGTAGTCAGCTCTCAAGACAACTGTTTAAAAGGTCCTTCTTTCCAGGAGCAGAGTCTTTCCTCCCAGGCTCTCTCCTAACCATGACCCCAGTTCATTTCCTTCCTCCTTTAGGGTCCCCCCATTTCTTATTCCTCAGCATCAGTTTCTTTTCCAGCCCCTGGCTTTTGGGCTTATTTCTGTGGCAGATGTCTCTGTTCCTGAGCACCTCAGGCCATCTTGCTCTGTGAGACAGTGACCCACAACAGGCACAGTGCGACGTGGCCTGGCACAGGCTGAGGGCTGGAGGAAGCAGACCCTCCCATGCTCATTGTCTGTTCTCTGATGTCTGAACCACAGGCTCTTCTTCCGAAGACACTACCCCCTCAACACTGTCACCTTCTATGACCTGGATCCACAGGAAAGAAAGTAAGTCTCTTGGAAACACCTTCCCTCTCAGCTAGCTCACGCCGCTGGAGAGAGTGTGTGCACATGAGCACAGGTGCGTGAGTTCTCAGTCCAACTGGAAGATCCGCCTGTGTCCAGGGGAGTGTGCCTAATTGTGTTGGGCATTTTTTTAGTTTTCTTCATAGATCTGGAGACCCTCCTGGGACTCAAATGCCCATTTTTACCCCCTCTGGGCCGACCCTGACCCTGACCCTGTTTCTCCCCTCCATGCTGTGGGAGGTAGGTGGCAGTGTTTGCTCCAACTTGAAAGCCCCTGGGTGACCTTGGCTGCTTCTATCCTGCAGAGGTCAGGGCTCCTCTGCTTGCCCCAGAGAGTCTGGTCTGAGTGGGCGGTGCTCTGGGGACAGGTGCAGGGATTTACCCTGAGCTGACTTTCTCTCCACAGGTGGATGAAGACAGGGGGAGGTGCTCCTGCTAAGTAAGTGTGGCTTCCTAGTCCACCAGCAGGTGGGGGCGGGTGGCAGGTTTAGAATCCGGAGCCTGGGGTAGGAAAAAGCCAGCAAGGATCTTTGTGCCAATGTCACCGAAGTCTGGAGAAAGAGTCAGCCCACGTGTGTGGCCTTAGCAAAGGAGAGTGTGTCCTGTCAGGGACAGAGTTGGAAAGGCTTTGGAAAAGAACGAATATTTTTAAATGGATCTTAAAGGACAGGTAGAGTTTGCTCAGGCTGAAAGGTAGGAGAGAGATGGGTTTAATGGGAGGAGGTAGCTTGACCAGCAATCTGGGCAGGGCTGAGTGTCCCACAGAGAGGCTGCTGAATGGTTGTTGGCTGAAGAAAGGAGACCAGAGGCAGCCAGGCCACCTCCAGTGACCAGGAATCTGGGTGTGATCAACGCTGGGGACTTGGCCTTGTTCAGTCCTCATAATCATCGAGGACTCTGAGTCCCCATGTTTTCTTGTGTTCCTGCCAGCCGGCCAGGCAGTCCAGGGCTTGCAGCGGGGGCAGGTGGCAGTGTCAGGGCAGGCATGGGTTGGCCAGGTCTCCATCATGGCAGAAGCAGGCAGACAAAGCTGGCATGCCTGTGTGATGGGAGCTCAGAGATGACCCCCACCCTGCTCAGGTCACCCCCACTGCACTACAGCCCAGACAGGGAGGAGCTGGGGGGCTGCCCTGTGGGCCCCAGTGACTTCAACACCTGGGCACTACTCCAGCTCCTGAAACCAAGCTGGAAGAGTCAAGTTGTGGGAAGTACAGGGCTGTGTGTGAGTGTATGTGTGTGAGTGTGTGACAGTGTGTTTGTGACTTGGTTAATTTTAGCCGGGCAGTGCCTTCTGAGGCAGAGGAGTGTCCATGGGTATCTCCAGCTGTCCCGATTTCCCCATCTCGCTCTAATTAGCAACACCCTGGCTGGGAGGGGCCCCGAGTTCACATTCTGTTCTCTGCCCTCGTATTTTTAACTCTGTTTTACAAAGAGAGATTGTTAGGTCATTCCCGTCTTGGTGCTGGAGAGGGGACAGGTGTGGGGTCCCCTCCCCCTTGGGTTCTCTGTACTTCCCAGCCTCTGGACAGGGCGGCTGTGTGTGTGTGTGGGGGGGTGGAGGACCTGCTCGTTCTTGGACTCCCTGACCTCCTGGGGTGCATGGCGGGTGCATGGCGGGTGTGTGGTGGGTGCCTGCTGGGTGCATAGTGGGTGCGGAGGCCCCATCCTTGCTGGGCCCCCCAGCCTCCTGGTTTGCTTCTGTGCTGTTTATGGGAACGGTCATGTTGGGTGGGGCTGGGAGAGGCTGCTTGAGGAATGCTCCCACTTTATTTCTGGTCTCGTCCCCACCCTGAACTATCCAGTCTTGTCCTTCACCCCAGTCCCGCTCCACCCCTCCAAGGGGAACGTTCGTCTTCCCTGAAACAAAGCGAGACACTGTCCCCAGCCTTGGCCTTGCTGCGGGGGAACCAAGAGGGCTCTGTCTCAGGCACCCCCTGTCCCTGAGGCCCGGGGAGGCTGGGGATGCCGCGTGGCAGGCTGGGCGTGCCCTGGCCAGGGTCCTCCTGTCTTCCCCTCTTGCCCACCATCCTCTCCTGCCCCTGCAGGCTCTTTGGCTTCATGGCCCGGAAGCAGGGCAGCACCACAGACAATGCCTGCCACCTCTTTGCAGAGCTCAACCCCAAACAGCCTGCCTCGGCCATCGTCAACTTTGTCTCCAAGGTCATGCAGAGCACCGGCCAGAAGAGATGAGCTCGCACCCCTTGCCCAGGCCCAGGGCAGCGGGGATGGGGCACCTGGGGAGGGGACCTCTGAATCCTGACCACCTCGAATCCAGAAGGAGGACTTTGGGCTAATTTTGGAGAAGGAGAGAAGAAAGTGTAGCATTGGGCAAGGGAAGTGAAATACAGAGGGGAGGGGAGAGGGAGAAAAAGCAAAAAAAAGTTGGAGGAGAAGACGCAGGTTCTCCTGGGCAGATGGAAACGGCAGCCTCCCAGAGCCTCCTAAGCCACCCAGGTCCCCTCACTCTCGCCCCCTCTGCGAGGACGCAGCTCCTCCACGGGCCTCCTTGGGATCCACATCTTGGGGGGAAAATGAAAAAGCTCTGTGTCCCTTGCCACCTGCTTTGCAAGGACAGTTCAAGCCAAGAGAGTCTTTTTCTGGCCACCTGAGGGCGGGTCGCTGAGCCCCAAGGCTGGCGGGAGAAAGCTCGCAGAGAAGCTTTTCCTTCTGACACTAGGCCAGACCCGAGGCCCCTCCGTCCCGTGCTGGGCCATTGATGCATTGTGACGTGGGTGTTTGTATGTCCCCACCCACACCCTCACACACTGATTTCTCTCGCCTCTGTCTGCTAGAAATGTAAACAGCTCTGCTCGTCTCTGTCCCCTGGGTTAGCACACACGTGCATTCTGTCCAAAGAAGGTTAGGGTTGGGGGTGACACGGCAGCAGGAGGAGACAGAGCCCTCTCCTGCAGGAGTACCTAGGATTCCCCCTCCTCGTCCCTGTACTTATACTCGAGTGGCCCCGGGTGCCACCAGCCTGATCTGTACAGAGGCCCTGGCCCGAGGGGAAGTGCACCCCTGCTCCATGGCTGGTTGACCCGGAGCCCCGGGCTTTGGTGTGAGGAAGCAGAGATATGTGTGTCTGTAGGGAGGAGGACTGTCAGGAAAGGTGGCTGCTGAGCCCTGACACCTTCCCACCACGGGTGGCTCACAGCTGGCTGGGCAGGCCGCTCTGGCCAGTGCCGGGGCTCTGCCTTACTCCTGCTGCTCGGCCCCATTCCTGGGCTCAGGGCCCCAGCGCCAGCCTTAGCTCAGCCTTGCTTATCTGCATGCTGCCTTTTGGGGCGCTGGAGATGGTGACTTCCTGCCCTGCCCTGTCTTTCCTGCAAGGTCCTCATGTTGGGGCTCATCCTGGGGAATCTGCTTCTCAGCTCCCTTCTCAGCAAGGCCCCAGGAGAAACCTGTGGTCCTGATGTCCCCTCTGTAAGAGCCTCAAGGTCTGACTGGTTGCAGGCGCCTTTCAGCTGGGCTGCTCAGGGTGACATCAGCAAAGCTCCTAGGGCTGCTTCCGGAGCATTCCAGGGCCTCCTCATCATGCCAGAGCCTTGCTGTCTCCCTTTTGCCTTGGCTTCCCCAGCAGAGCCACACTGCCCACAGAGCAGGGG